CTGTACTACTAATTAGCAAATATTGATACCTTGATGGCTTGATTGATCGATGGTAGATTATCAAGGGCGCCGCTGCAGCTGCATGCACCCCAGCACTCCGGGATCACCATCCAATCCTCCCCGACATTCCAGATCGCAGAGATCAGATTCGTAGGCCCATGCTCCCGGATTCAACCCTACAGTTCCGCCCACTTACACCTCTTCATGCAATGCATGTATTATTGTTTGATTACCTGGCCCACTATCCATTCCTCCTCGACAGTCGACACAAGTACCTTAAACCTACCTTGCTCTGCACAGTGTACACAAACAGATACACCGCATTACTTAGCCAATAATTATGTACCCTGTATGCACTGCACATTGCACCCATACAACACTCACACACATATACATCTGTGCGGTGCAGGGTACGTACATTAGCCACCCTCCCTTGCCACACGCCATACTCCAGCATCATAGGCGCCAAATGAGCGGTGATTCACCGCTTCCTCCATGATTGGATTCCAGCCCGCCATGCCAGCGACCAACTGGAAATGAAGGGTTTGATACCCGTTGATGTATGAAGGAGCTTGGATCGCTCAGGCATTACCGACTATCAGCCACATTATGTGGATGACCTGTGGCTGCTGCATCTGCGACCGGGGTGGAGGTCTTAGAACCTCAGTAGATTGAGTCTGTCAATCTAGGGCTGTAGCTTCCAACTCTGATTCTGGTTTTCGTGAATCCGATGCAGTCACCGCAGCATGTGAGGCGACTGTTGGTGCATATCATTATACATATGGTCCTATGGAGCAGTAGCACTGCGTGGCTCTGGACTCTCTGAAAGTCTGGAGCTACCACAGTATGGCCCGAGCGAGGAGTCCAAGCTCAAGCTCAAGCTCTGGCCAGTATGGGGTAGACTAGGTGTCCATGGAGTGCGTACATGAGTATGTATGTCTCGTCTGTGTTCTGTACATCATATTCATAAGGTATTCTCCCTCACGTCTGAAGACAAGCCAGAATCAATCCACTCTCCACACTCCCCAGAGTTACCACTTACCAACTTACCACTACCCCGTACATTCCAAAGAAAGACAAAGTACGTATTTCCGCCGCACGGATCTCCAACTTCGTGCAAGGCGCTCCCAAACCAGGAAAAGAGGATACATAGAACGGACCTCCTCGCAGCGGAAGCTGCTTCCAGCTCGAGCTACAGGCCCAGTTCCCAGGAGCAGGCGGAAGTATCGCGATCCCTTCCGTCCGCGAAAGGGTCCCGGATTCCAAATCCCAGGTTATTTCACTAAGAACTTAGAAGCTTGGACCGAGAATCACTTTCTTGCAGCTTCCCCCGACGATCACTCGCTTGGATGGATCATCTTGTTAATCGTATTTCCACCTGATCTCGGGGAAATGGGAGATATGTGGCGAACAGAGTCGGCGACTCCCGGTGCAAGCTGCGCTGATGGACCTTTTTCGATATCGACTGGAGTAATAGCAATAATGCACCTGGTTTACTCCTTGATGGTCATCGTTATTGGGTGCGGCCAGCCACACTCGTCATTAAGGATAATGTCGATGCCTCGGTCCTGTTCATATGATGGCAGTGATGATGTCCACCGGTCGCATCCTTTTTCCGAAATATTCCCGTCAGCTGTCTGCTGAGGTACTATCTTGATGTTGACTGACGTAGACTGTTATCGCGACTCGGGCGATATTTTCTTGTTTGGTTCGCAAGTAGCTTTACGGAGTACTCCGTAGTATATCCTTCAAGCCGTATCAACCGAGGTAAGCATCTACATCGGATAAAAGAGGGTGCTTCGGAGAACCGAATACTCCTGCGACATCACTTATTCCACTTGACAGCTGAAGAAGTGGCAAACAGCTTCATTCATGTGTAAAACCACCGAATTCCGAAATGTATCGCGAGGTGGTGCTCGTCATCCAATACCTTGTTCAGCTGGCGTAATCAGGTTAGAGTATACGAGCGACCAGGGAAGTATTAAGAAAGCTGACATATTACTACTGTGCTATCGTTCAATGGGACTCTTTAATTCTAGTCATTTATGTGTCAGACCACCATCCGTCAGCAACAGTTACATTAGTATAATGCTGTCTCAGATGACGCCGAACCAATCTCACCCACATATCCTCCGTATGGAGTACGAAGTGGAGTACCCCGTCGATATTTATATCATCGCCCGAAACCCACCGAATCCCCATAAGGCTGACTGCTGACTCGGCGTCTTCTGGATGCTTCGATATCAGCATTTATATAGCATCAACTATCTATAAAGTAATACGAACACTACCACATCTTTAAGAATACACGAGTCGTGGTTAGCTCAGATAAAGCACACCTCAAACGCCCATGTAACCGCGACTGGGGTGAAGCTTCAAGCATCCCGACGTTAAGCGAGACGAAGGGAATATCAACTGGTGGTTATTGTCTTACTGTGCTCCGCGCACAGGGCCCAGGATCCAGAGGACTGAGACTGAACTGTACATCAAGTAGCCTTCATCTAGCCTCCTGATTCATCGTTCAAAGAGCTTCATAGCAGCAGGTTAAAGAGCAATCAAGCTATTCATTACTTCTCGTACATTGGTTTACATCGGCTATACGGAGTATCAGTTATTAGTCACTATATTAGTTATCAGCACTGTAGAACTGTAGAGACATGTTGAGTGCACTTGCTCTGCATCATTTCCCCTGATTCTGGGCAGCTAAATCTCCCACTTCAATACTAGAGATTTCAGGATTGCCTCTATACGCAGTTCACCTACTGATGAAACAGGATTGCTCAGGCCACTATTATCCGTGTGAACCTTACGGAAAAGAGGAATGGCCCACAGTATATAGGTGCTTAGGAGGAGCACTTAGCTGTTCTCATGGATGGTGGGTTTAGAGGACAGCATGCGTCAGACGGAACCGCTGGCAGGGATTGTATGTATTATGGAGGTGGGAGCAGGGGTCTGGATGTTCCAGAACATTTCTAGACGTTCTATTTCCCTGTGTCCAAGAGTGAAAGTGGGGTTGGATGATGGAGACTGTTACCGATAGTGAGAGTGGGATGGCGATCATACCCAGCTGCTCCGTACACCAGAGAATGGAGGATGATGCCTCGCTTGACCTGACTGATATGGCGAAGAATGGACTAGATAGATATATACGGCGTGGGGGGATTTCGACCAAGCGCTGTCTCCGCTGTTTTATTCCACGTGTAGGTCTCGAGTTCGGGATAGGTGTCATTTGCCATTGATAGAGAAACTACCAAGTTGTCCAATGATATCATATTAATATTCATTCTCAAATGCAATAATAATAATAATAATTAAATGCGCAAACTAGAACCATTCATCTCCGACTGTTTCCAACCGGTTTCTGCGACTCTTGAGTGCAATGTGTTCGGTTGCCCTGTGTATGATTAGGAAGGATTCCGATCCAAGAGGCCAAGGCGCGTGTCGGTTGATTCCAACAGCAGAGATGATACTGGAAACAAGTACTCCGTAATCTTATCCTTCGAGTTCCAACCACTTCCATAATTCAACCCAAGCCATCAACCTCCGACCCTCTACGATGAGAACCACCATGGCTCTGTGGCGTTTCCATGAGTTTCCATCCAGCAGGATCAAGATTTTTCGACCTTTGTTATCTCAGCTAGCTTTGACTCAAATCGGCGGTGAATGGCCTAGACGCCTAGATTCCGGTTAATCGCCGGATGATTCTGGATCCCGCTTCGAATGGAGAAAGGTGGAGAGTTTGCCCATGCAGAGAAAGGGCCGTCTCCCCGATTTGCCTTTTTGGGCGCGGTTAAATGGTTGTTTGTGAGTTTGGTTAGAAGCCGAAAGTTTTTAGCTGGATTTAATTGTTGTAGTCTTGTAGATCTGGTCTCGTCCCGAGTTCCAAAAGCGATAGTGCGGGCTGTTAGACTCCCTTCCTTCGTTGATCGTCGGTGCGAAGGAGCAGCCCAAGTCTTTGAGTGTGAAATCAAGAGAGGTACGTGGTACTAATCCTCTAATGTCACCCCCGGAAGAAGAGTTCATCAGGAGCGGCGATGGCCCAATAGACGACCAATGGACAATTGAAGCGGCTGCTTGGGACAGCATTACGCATTCTCGGTGGAGACGTCCTCGTCCCCTATGAACTACTCTTGGTCTGACCACAGGCTTAATGGAGCTTAAGAACGCTATCCTGAAGCGGGCTGGAGCTGAAAAGCATGCAAAAATAATATTCGAGACAGCAGTGAAGGATTAATGCCCACGCTACTCCGTACTGACCCCTATTGTCGGGACCATTCCACCCCCAGTTCGTTTGGCTGATCACTCTTGCAAAGCCCTCTATCCTTACTCCACCGGATTCAATCAGGGTGAAGGTGTCATCGTTACTCCGTGCATGAGCGAAGAAAGACTTTGGGAAGGAATGGTCGTCGCAGCCCGTAAGCTTTGGGTCACTCTATCTAAGCTTCAGAAGGATGCGCGTTTGACTATATCGGTAGCTAGAATGTCCTGCTGATGACGCAAGCACACGTTTTCCTGAAATGGTCATTCGCAATCGCAAGAACCGTGAGATTCGTCTATCGAGAAGCAGTTGGTGGGCTATAGGAGATCAAGAACTCATCTTGAAGGATTATCGACGGAGGGAATGGAATAGGACGATCTACGAAGCAGATACCAGGGGCATGTGCCACAAAATACCCGTGAAATCTGCAAGATTCAGGATCCGCTGCTTTTAGCAAACTTCGCGACAGGCCATTCTAATGCCGAACTTGAGGATCATTCATGGCTCTGGCCAGTCACCGAGGGTTCAATGTGTCGTGCGCAAATCAGACTGAACTTTTGGCAATAGTATGAATCCGGCATGACCTTGATCTGTCAATGAAGAGAGTAAGAACTTTGTATGTGCCGGAATTGATGCGGACACAGCGTCCCCTGGTCATTCTCTTTATTGGTGCAAGGTTCTGAAGCAGTCGGTTCGAGGAGGCTCGTCGTCAAGTAACCGATGCCCAACTCAGCAGGCGGCATTATGTGGTGTTACAGAGGCTTCTTATTGCCATGACGTTGCGGCGACTCCGCGGTTCAATAGAGTCATGCGCAGACGAAATGTCCTCATTTATAACCTGGCTAGTATCGGGGCAGATTCGGCGTTTCGACCGCTGTCTTCCATCAGCGAGGGAAGGTCGAATCTCATCCGGCGGAACATTGCTGCGAATGAGATTGAGCAGCTGCGTGACTTTAACATCCTCTTCGTCGCGAATGGTCTCGAGGAGGCGCACGAGAAGATCGCGGTCCTTTTCAAGTTCGATAAGCTTTCGTTTCAGGGATGTCTGTCGGCGGCCATCTTTGTCTTCCTCTCTCCGACATTCCGTTTTGTATTTCACGCAGTTTTCGCATGGAGGTCCGCCCTGACACTATTTGAAGCGGTTATCAGAAACAGGAGCCACCCTATTGTCTTTCAAATCGCCAACCTTTGTTTTTCGAAGCCTGCATGCTGAACATGACAAGGACGCGTTACGACGAGATCGAATGGATTTCAATGTGTGTTTCGCCGGCAGTGTTTGACCATCTGAGCTTGACGCTGGAGCCAAGTAACGAACCTTGAAGGGATCCGACATTGCGGATAGAAAATGGGTAGATCATAAGAAAGGGTGAGTTTCCTGAAGAGGTATCAGTTTCTGAACAGCAAAAGACACGGGGCAGATGCGGAGTCACATAAGAACAAATAAGCCGTTCTCCAGTGGCTATGAAGGCATATGACAGCCATGGACTTATATCTCGTATCCCATCAATGAGGGCTGTGGGGCCTAAAAGTGATTGGTTGTTACGTATTGTCTACTAGTTTTCAAGCTGCTGGTCTCAGCTGTCAGCTCCAAGTTTTTAGGATGACTGACGCAATGATCTGCGAGCCACAATAATGCACCGGATATTTCACCCATCCAACTATTGCCATTTGGAGCTGTTAGGGGGTCTTGGTTTCAAGCAGTTTATCAATCTACCTCTTCCATCCATGTTGGGGCGAGGTGCGGCAAATACAGTCACACATCAGCCACATTGCCACAATGATATGTCCCAATTCTGATTCTATTTCCATCTTTCCAACTTCAAGTCCCAATATGTCAGCCACTCCACCGGTCCATACGAACTACGCGTTAACTTCTCACAAGTTCAACACATGCATGCTGTTTCTTGGTTATACTACCTAATCTAAGCCACAATGTCCCTACCACCAAGGCGAAAGCAGACAAGAGCATGTGTCGCATGCCGGGAAAGAAAACAAAAGGTAATTACGAGTTCTCTGACTCAGGCGCCGAATTTTATCAGTTGGTGATCAAAATAATACCCTCCTATCAGCTTCCATCGACTTGCTTGAAGACATGACTGACCAGACGCAGTGTGACAGTGGACGGCCTTGTGCACGCTGTTTCGAAAATTCAATCGAATGCGTTGTTGACGAAAGTAATGATCTACGACGAAAAGGGGCTTTGAAGCGCAAGGCAGCAATGATGGAGCAAGACCAAGAGCTTCTAATTCAGCTCGTGAGCGCACTTCGCGGTAGCAATGAACGCCATGTCTCTCACCTTGTGAATATGATTCGGAGTCACGCTTCATTGCAGGAAATTCGCGAGTATATAACAGACCATCTGAAACTGGGTACAATCGAGGACACGTCCGAGATGACGGAGTTTCGGCGTCAAATTCACTTTCTTCTTGACGTAGAAGGACCAGCCTTTGAGCCACGGAAGGCACAGCAGGTCACTCACCCTCGTTGTTTCAACGTTCCCGCGAAGCCGTGGACGGTGATCCAGTGCAACAGTGCGCTTGTTTCGGAGCTCGTTTCGCTGTGGTTTACTTGGAATCATCCCATGTTTCCGTGTATTGACCGCAGCCTCTTCGTGCGAGACATGCGGGCAGGGAATGTGGTGTGTCAGTACTGCTCACCCTTCTTGGTGAACGCCATATTAGCCGACGCTTGCGTGAGTGATCCAATGGTATCCTCCGTGGTTTGATGATCCTTATGATGGAATCGTAGGCACTACTGGATGATTCTCACTCCGAAAACGGAAGCTACATGAACGACAGCTTTCATTCCCTGGCTAAATGCTTTTATCAGCAAGCACAGAGGCTCCATGAGGAGGAGGGGCGACTCAGCTTGACCACCCTTCAGGGATTAGCCGTTCTATGGAGATGGTAACGAGAACGATAATTTGTTATCCTCGCCCGCAAATTCTCTGTTTAGACTTTCTGCGTCTAACCTTTGATAGCACGTGTACGTTCGGTAACAGCCATCTAGCTCGAGTGTACGAGGGCCGAATAGTGGACGCGTTACGCAACTTCTCCACTTCTAGGACATCTGCTTCGCCAAAACCCAGCGGGAATGAGCAACAGTATGACAATGTTTGTAGCATAGCACTTTGGGGGGTGTACAATATTCTTTTGTGAGTGTGGGCTGATCGAGCACTCTCACGTCAGACCGGGCGGTTCTAAGTCATTGCAACGTCTAGGGAAAATCTGATCACCTACCGGCGCCGGCCACTGATTGGGGTTCCTCAATGTGCGCGTCCGCTGGTGTTCCATGTTGAGGGTCACGCGGGTGAGCAGTGGGCTCCATATCCGAATGCCCAGCCAGCTACTACAAGCCATGAATCGTGCTTGATCAACAGTCTCTGCAACTTGACTCTGATCGTCAACGACATATGTCTATTGCTCTCCCAGAGCTGGAAGTATCTATCGCCCGAGGCTGTAGATCAAAGTGTCGAAGCCTCGTTCAAGCGCCTTGAAGATTGGAAGGCCCATGTACCGTCCTGCATGCGGCTGAGTGATACAGAAAGGTCTTCGCCGCAGGTCCTCGGCACCCAGTGAGTGTTATCAATTGGACCCTTGACAATGCCTACGTGTCACTCATTGAGTATAGCATATACTACCATACAATCATGATCTCACTGTACGGCTTTTCGCAGAAGTCCTTCGGAAGTGTACGAATGAGCGATGCTAGTACCCCCTCAAATGCGAGAGCCCGAGCCATGCGCCTTCACGCGGCACAGGAAGTAGCTCGGCTAGTTGAACTTCGTCGACGACTATGGGGCTTGGACCGTATTTCTGCGCCCCTCAGCCAGTGGATAACGATCTCGCTGCTCACTCTGCTGGAGGACCTGTCTACACCAGAAAGCAAAGAGGCGTTCGTCAGCCTCTGTGTGGCACTGCGTGTATCAGCCCGACGATGGGAGCATTCGAAGGGTCTCCTCCGGCTTACGCAGCATCTCGCACTTCAGTCATGTTTGACTTTACCTCCGGAAACCATTCCACTGTACAGGGACTTTCAGGATTTGAAATGGGGCCCAGAGGATGATGAGAGATTTGGTGCACTGGCTCAGAGGTTTTGGATCTGATCACTGTGGGAAGTGCAAGACTGGATCTAAGTCCTGTATCGTCACCGATTATCAAACTCAGTTTACTCGCTCCGTTAATGAAGTCTCAAAGCTGACAATCTCCGGATGAGCCACTGTTCAATCCTTTGTCGTATTCTTCTCTCTCAATCTCGTAGTTCAATTTGAGAGTACGCCGGAACTAGATGAAGAACCCCATTAATCTATATACCTATACAGGGCCTTCTGATGGTGAGACCCGCAAGGAAGTTTCGACCAATAAGCCCTTCAGTGTCGAGTCAAACTCTGTACCACTCCTTGATCACCGAAGGCAAGACAACCTACCCTATTACCCCTCAATCCTCTCCACCACACAAGCAGTCCCGTACGCACACACCTGCGAACAAGCCCCAATACTCGAGACATCGAACCTCATCGCCACGATGGCATTCCCGCCGCGCCCCATACACTCTCCGACCAGTCGCTCGACGGCCTCATTCCGCGACGTATACATCAGATTCGTGAACGGACGGAGCTCGCCGCCCACAGACGAGCGCACGATCGCGCCGAGATCAGTGCCCCAGTTGCGGGTTCGGACGGTAAGACCGTAGACTGTTCCGAGGACTTTGGTGATTTTGTAGCCGGGGAGGTCGTTGGTTGTTGTGGTGATGACACCGTGGGTGTCGGTGAAGCAGGAGGGGGTGTTGTCTTGGGATTTAGATGGAGGCATGGTACATAGTAAAGAATTTGTTCGATTATACACATTAATAGATTTTGGTTTAGTCAAGAGGAAGATTGCTTTTATCTTTATTTCGGATGAGGCATTTTGTCAAGGAAAATCGCGCATATAAAGGACGATCGGCCTCGTATTCACATTACCTCAGACATTAATAGGATAGTGAAGCGGAAAACCTAATTAATGCGAGCAGTGGATCAAGCTCATTCATGAGATGTCAAATTATTCACTAAAAGCTTGGTTATTTCTGGAAGTGATTCTACCACTTCCCCCTGCTGATTGCTCCCGTCGAGGGTCTTGTTCTCTCGACCTCCAACATCCACTTTCTTTCAATATACTCCCTCTTTGCGGACTGGATAGCTGCATTCAATGATAAAGCACGCTCTAAAGGGAAAATTCCAGAGCCTTACCTCCTTTCATAAAGTGAGACATGCGTTGATAACCCAAGAACTCAGCTATATATATCGCGCATGGGTCTTCTGCTACAGCATCTCAGGCCGCCTTTCTTCCCAAGTACAGGTGGCCGACATCGACCACAAAGAATGCCATGACACAGCTGTCGAATAAACACTGGCGCTGCCAATCTCGGCGGTTTCTGCGAAGCCACTCCCAAACGGGAAGATGAGGTCCTCAGCAGTGAATAAAACCCAATGCAACTGTTCCTTCCTGTCGAAACCCTCATGTGAGCTGCGTATTATCAAGAACAAACTCCGATTCCCATACCAGTGGTCGGACGAGCGGTGCTATAGTCAATAACAGGGGCGGTCCGCAATAGCGGCCAAATAAGCCTTTGACCTACGAGATCCCGTGGGTGGCCTCAAGCTGTACGCCCTCAGTGACCTAGATCCCCACACAAAGCTATGCAAACAAAGTGTTTATAGCGCCTCAAGATTCCATCTTTTTCTTCTCGGAGTACTGCGCGTCCGCAACCAACTATCTGACAGGAAGAAGGAGTGGATACACAAGATCACACGGATTACGCTCGGCGGCGAAGAACGTTACCAGGAACCAGCTGCTGCGGCGAGGTATTTGACTGCAGATTAATTGGAGGATATGGGATTTCATGCCCCGACACTGGTGGGTTACGTCCTCTTCAGCTTTTTGCATATCTGGCCGAGTCCTTTAGGATTTGTCTCCTTCGTACCTCCATCCAGTCTGGCGTTCAAGGAACCCGACCTTTTGTCAAAACACAGGGGTCCCGTCTGCCTACCATTTCCTCGAAGTAGGATTCTCGAAGTCATACCCCCGTCTACTCCCGGACAAGGATCTCTGGATGATTCGAGGCCGCACGCATCAACGTCCTGGTCATTGTGAATGCAACAAGCCAATCTTCTTGGCTTGACACTGAGTTCACCGATTTATCAGACCCGACAGGAGAGGCGTTGGCTGTGAAGGCGCTCCCCGTGACACTTACGCTTACGATCTGGCAACGATCCTCGATTGGTATCTGGTTTCTTCGACCCGGATGAAGACTGGACCCCCGTTATGCTTCCGACAGTTTCAGAAGCGATGGTACGTTGGTTACTGCCTTCAAGCACTCCGATCTTCCTTCAGGTCGGTTGTGCCAAAGATAATCTAACCATCAGATAACCTAGGCAGAGAGACGTTACCCGCTCGCAGAGACATGATCACATCAACACTGGAAATGCTGGTGGGACACGTCCAGTGAAGAACTGAATACCAGTTATACCAATTATTCCCAACTGTCTCGCTATTTTAGAGATCAATGGAAGCTACCGAGATGCTATAATCCAACTTCGCGAAGTCGAACTAAGTACGCCCGAATCCCAACAACAGCAGCACCACCTACTGGACTTACTACGATAGGTCAAAACCTGGCAGCCACACGTTTGAGGTCCAATAGGTTTTACCTGTCCTAGTCTCCCTGCACACCTTCCGGCCGCGGTCGTGCCGGCCGTGCTCGTCGCGGCTGTGGTGCTGCTACTGCTGCCGCTGCCGCCAATCCCGCTGCTCCCTGCGCTCGTCGGGGCCGTTTTCCCGGTCGTGGACGTGCTGCGGCCCGCGCTGGTTGTGGGCGTGGTGCGTTCCGCGGCCGGGGCCGGTGCCCAGGTCACCGTTGTTGTGCCGCCCTTCCGGGCTGTGCGAATGCACTTGTTCCAGGTGCGAGGAACTTGTATTGGTCTGCCATGAAAGCGAGAGGCGTAGGTTTTGGCTGCGCGGGTGCATTTAGGTCGTCGCCGCTGTCAGTGACCTGCATTGCCGCTGCTGTGGCTTGCTTTCGTGAAGGGCGGCTCGGTGTGTCATCTGGAGGGGACGGGCGTCAGCAACTAGACAGATTGCAGGAGCGTAAGGCGTACGAACTAATTCCATACCCCAAAGTTGATTCCCCGATATTTCCAGGGAAATTGGTCTACGATTTGAAGCTAGATACGGACAACTACGTCACTGTTATCCGTGCAAGAATATATGAACTCATGCGAGGCTGCCATCATGCTCGTCAGCCGTTGATGACGATCAGAAATGAGCACCTTGGTGGAGAGATAATTGAGTAGTAAGACATCTTCATCCCTAAGCAGTTATCTCTAAACAGTTTCAGATCTATTCCACGTTGGAAGATGAAAGCACCAACTCATGTAGGAACATCCAAGCAATGGCATACTCAATTATTCTGTACATCGGGTATAGCTTCTACTTCATCAGCCGTGGGTCTTTGTAGATGGATGAGCTGGCATACGCCTCAGTCTAGTGAGTGTTTTCCTGGGTTGGACGCTGGGCAGGCTTTCCCAATGATGAGGTATTTATCTAAGAATTTCAATGTCATAAGTGTTAGCGGTATCATTACAGAAGCATCGACCTCGTTATATGACGATGAAAAGCCTCCTCCCAGCGATCACGCAGTGTCCTCAGTTTCTTCAATAACTCTTAACAGCCATTTCCACAACCTTGCATCTGTTACAAATAACCCGCTTTCTCTCCGGAGGTTTTGACTGACTTGATGGTCATCCTGGACGGTTGGTAGCGGAGGATTTGGGGGCGCATGATCCATATTATCCTGGCTGTGGGGACGGGCAGATACTCCAGGGGAGAAGTCTTTTAATAGACTATGATCCAGCATTCTGTGTTTCCCATATGTCGGTAGCAGCTCATTAGAGGAGGGGTCTGGACACCAAGCACCAATATAAGCACCGGAAGAGGAGCTTGACAGATACTGGGTAGGTGTATAAGCAACCGACTCCGCTGGGGCATCTGGAGGTAAAAGGGCAGACTGCATTATACAGTCGCCTCCAAGGTGATTATGACCTCTAGACGCTGGTAGCAAAGAGCCCGCAGCAGGGGGAGCTGGGACCAATGCCGATGGGTGTGAAGCATAGTAGAGCTGTGGTTGCCCAACGGGGGAAGTACGATATTCTGACTTCCACTGCGAACTCAAAGTCAGCTTTCGGGCAATGGTACTCCTCATGACATTGCCTCGGAGATGTCTTTGCTCCATCTCTCGGATTTCTTGTGGTGGTAGATCTTCCTGTTGTGCCTCAGAGTATAATTGTTTGTATCGAGGAGAAGATCGTTGCTGAATGAGCCAAGTTGCCAGGTCTTTTTCAGGACCGTAGGCTGTATCCCAGAGAGTAGCAAAAAGACCATAGTCATTGATTGAATCAAAGCTGAGAAACCGAGACAGACACCATGATGTCATACTCTGTTGTAGAAGCTGCAACGCTCTGAGGCTGGAATAATCATCGGCTTTGCGCCCGACTGTTGGCAGAAGAGCGCTCTTGAACCCGTCCCGGAAAGAAGCAATGAGGTCTTTACTCAACTCGTCCCCGAACTGTGGAAGTCCAGGTGGGGCTAACAGTATTGCGTCCGGGACAGATGAAGAAAATCCCCAATCGATAATACATGTTATGTTATAATCCTCGTCAACATAGATGTTGTTAACACTCAAGTCTGGGTGCCATAGTGGGAAGCCTCCCAAGCAGGGACCTCGTAAATCGAGTGTTTCTATCATATCCCGGAGAGCGTCACCGGCAATAACGTAATCGACCCTGTTCTCAGAAGATTCACACTTCTCTCCAACTGCCACGAAAGCATTCCATAGATCGCACGCTTTTCGATGTTGAGCGTCAGATTCGTAGTCACGTCGAGAGGGGATTGGTGCGGTGAAACAATGGTGTAATAGCGGCAGAACTTCAGCATGCTGTGTAAACGCAGTGACAAGGCTGTCATAAAACTGTGTTTCAGAGGAGAAAGGGCCGCGAGGTACATCCTCTAAGGTATACCTTTGGTGCAATACATGGCCACGTGCAAGGCATTCTTTCACTTCAAAAGCACCTCCTTCCTCAAAAAGAGAGCCAATCCGGTCAAGACGTACATGCAGAAGCTTCTGAGTGATGGCGCCCAATTGACTGAGAACCTTGACTTTCTTATGCTCAGCTAGCTCTGGATGATTCGAGGCTGCTAATTTCCATGTGTCTGACAGCGGCCGACCAGGGGCTTTGCTCATCAGAATGTATGGGATTCCAATATCATTATCGTGCGTAGAGCTTGTAGAATCAGCTGAGGTAACATTCAAACTTAGAAATCTCATACCTGTAACCATAAACCTCCGGTACTGGTATATCGCTCTTCAACCTGAGATATCGTAGAGTAGCAGCCTCGCTAGCTAGAAGCTTCAAACTCAATTCCGACGAAGCGGCCAGATTATGGGGAGACCGTAGCACCCATTGTATCCCATCTTCAAACGAGACGAATATGGCCCAGTTGAAACTTCCCATAGCTGGGCGCTGATTCATATCACAAGTGCACACAATCCCCTGTCGCAGGGCACTTGCCTGGCGACAAAGGGCTTCAACGTTGAATTTAGCGTTTCTAAAGATTGCAGGTTTTGTATCTGTTGGCATCGTAGCTGTAGACCTTCGTCAAAGAATGGGTCCTGTGATTGGATATTTCATTGAAGGCAAATGTTAGAGTGTTCCCCAAATCTAATAGGCAAGTGGTCTGGTGAATGACTAAGCGCTGTTTACCTGCTTCGTCCAATCTGACTATCAAAATGACGAGTTGTGGACTGACTTCCGCAATCCCGCAATCCTTTTAGCAGCCGACATGGCAGATCAACCATGGCTCATATGCAGATATCAGTAGTCAAGGATGCTACGTTTGATCGACCAAATGAATGGGCTGGGTTGGGGAGCGCGGTCCGGTCGAAAGGTCAAAGAAAAGTCATGTAAGTGGATTGACCATAGCGAGAACGAACCAGAAGTTTCATCTTAGGATAGTTCCCTAATGCGTCCTAGGTATATAAAAGAGTTCACGCAGACTTGCTCTCAATAAGATTGTTCTTGATAAGTCCGATCTCAACATCAACAAATCCCAGAAACCTCAAGTATCCTTCGCCTCCACCATACGTCAGGTCAAGGTACACAAGGAACGCTCTCATGACCTCTCTTGGTGCCAGGAAGTGCTTTTCAAAATTCTCAGGTGGACAGCCATCAAAGATAGACAGCCCAGGAAGTCTCGCACTCTTCTCAGGGACCAGTCCCTCAATTTCAGCCTCAGAACGGTGATACTCCTCGATGATATCTTCATCCGACACACCCAGCAACTTAAGGACAACTGCAATGACGACTCCCGTCTCGTCCTTTCCCAAGTCGTCGTAAACAAGAAGTGGGAGGTCGAATCCATCCCGGATGTGTGCAAATATCGCTCTGTACGCAGGGGCAGACACGGTACAGTAGTGCTCATAGATCACCATGAAGCTTTCGACTACGTCGTAAGAAAGCCGGTTGAAATGTTTAAGGAGCGTTTCTCGGCTCTCTTCCCAACTTATGGCGGGAACATGCTGTGTGGTAACGCCTTCGATGGCAATGGCTGTCTTGTTTGAGACTTTGTCTGAACAGAGGTCGAAGATGTTTCTGATACCGAAGTGTTCTTCCAAAGCCTGAACTCCAGCTTGGGAGACGTTCCTCAGATTGGCTGAGCGGAAGAGATATCCTCTTCGCACGGCTTTGTTGCCGGCCAATTCGTAGCCCCCAATGTCTCGGAAGTTGTATAAGCCTAAAATCTGAGGAGAGAAAGATTCCTGTTCCGGTTCCTGGCTCGAACCGCACAGCTTTCCCTTGATTTTACAAAGATGAAGGTTTTCTTTCATGTTGTTGGATTTGTTTATAAGCGTAATTGTGGTCTGGAGATGGAGTGCTGGAATCTGGTCATCCCAGTAGCCTGCGCCGACCTTTATACACCCCTAGCTTTTGCAGGTCCTCTCGAACTATTTTGTACCACCTCACTGATTTCCTTTGTGGCAGTCGGTGCGAAGGAGTGGAATTTGGGACTCGAGCTGCTTACACTGGCAGCAGTCTTGATTGACGTACCCTACACGCGTGAGATGCACAGTTCAGGATAATGGATCCCTTGACGTCAGATAAGGTCCAACTGAAAATGCCTGCGTACCATGATGATATTGAAACTGTCGTTACACGGTGTTCGTCATCTTTGTGCTTATGTCCTCGGAGATATTATCGGGCCCCTTGCTGACCATGACGTACAGAAGAATGTGGAAGTACATACCAGAGGATGCCTGACAGATATCGCTTCATCATCCTTCGCCGACTGCGAATATCTTCAGCAGTATCCCTGAGATTGTCTGTCCCGAAAGAGCCTGACCGCATCTTCCACAATGCAAACAGTTACGTGGCCCGTTCCGCAAACTGGGGACACTTTGGGACGACCTCCTTGACATCAATCGTTGCTTCAATGTATGAGCTGAAGACTCATGAAACATACCGTCCCATAGATAGCGTGAGCTTTCGGCAATTTGTTTCACCATAGTCAGGAACCGAATACTTTCTATCACAATGACTGCAGTATCCAGAAACGTACTAGACAGAACACAATATACAATGAAGACTGACATATGCAAAGGCATGATATTCGGTTGATAGTGCTTTGCAAGATCAGGGTCATCAGGCTGAGTTCAAACTACAAAAGGTGACAACTAGCTCACAAGTTGTGAATGTACTCTTACAACACACTAGGTCAAAGTCGGGCTCAACTCCCACAATCCCATTACCTCGCACCATTTACATCCTCTCTATGAGGCAGAATTTACCAGCGTTCCCGAAATGTCTCTCAAACCAAGGCTTGCAAAAAGGCGAAGAGTCTCAGAACCCAGCGAAAAAGACACTGATGATGGAAAGTCGGTCGATTTGACGCGTTGTTATGCAGTGGATGATGGGGCTGCTGCCAAGGAGAAAGGGTTCGTCCACAGGTACTGAAGAGATACACTATTCTCCTTGCAAGTTACAAAAGTCGACTGATAGAACCAGCCAATTACTCAACCATGCCTCAGCGATCTGTCTATCATCTGCAGCGCCTAAGGTCTTCCCAGCTCATGAATCATCGTCCTCAATCAAAAATATTTCAAGTTGCCTGTAAGCAAAGCTCGAAGTACTATTATCCTTATACACAAGCCCAGGATTCTTCATTAACCTGACACGATTTAGGCACCAGAACCACAGTCCAGCCTGAGCCAAGCAACAATGTCTTTTTTTGGGACAGTCGAGGATAATTGATTAATTGGTCATGATGTGGTCAGCAGGGCTAGGGAACGGTGAAGATTTGGACGTGATAAAACTTGAAGTATAGCCCTTTTTCAGTTACAGTGATTATCTTGAAGATAGTACACAGTAGTCAAAATGTATCAAGAGGGACGAAACAGAAAAAATCATTGTTACTGTCGGTAAATGATCCACATCAAATGGCAGTTGAAAGACTCACATACTACTTAGTTAACCAAGACTTTGTCATCAAACTAAGGTTAATGATAAGCATAACTTAAATTGAAATAGACATCTAACCTTCTTATACGTCCATACAATGTATAGACAGAACACGCTCAGTCGAATACTTATCCTAGCATGCATGTCTCATTGATAATGCTTAAGAAATGCGACCCTTTCCCTTTTAGGGATGTTATTACCCAACCGTAATCTGACTGAGACTTATAGTAATGCTGACACACGGTGGAGAACTATATGAAGAACGCAGAGATACAGTGAAGACAATATAGAGTAGCGATTGGGATGAGCTATATAAGAGGTAGAACCTCTCGCCACAGTCAATGGAGCCTCACAATCAAAGCATTCTACCAAACTGTTTCTACTCCCCTCTCATCCTACCCGCAAGAGTCTCACATAGTATCAAGACCATCCTCCATTTCACAAAATGCATCTTTCACCCTGGGCCACTGCCACTTTCATTACCGCCGCTACGGCGGCTACTCTCAAGGTCAACTACTATTCCGACGGCGGCTGCTCCAACTACATGACCTCGCTCAATCCAACAACCGACTTTTACTGCTATGACTACGTCTGGTCCGGCTCCAACAGCGTGAATATCGCCGACTGCACGTTTCCGAATGGAAAGTGCCTCTGCACTTTTTACACGCAGCCGCACTGTAAGGGCGCGCAACAGACTGTTGTCTACGGTGGGGACAATTGTGCGTCGAACTGGTGCCGCGGATTCTATTCCATGAGGTGCAGCATTGAGCATGGCCTCTGAGCGGAGCGGGCTGATCATTGAGTCTGAGCTTTGAACTCTGCGGACCTTAACTCCGATCTCACAAGGTGTTGGTGGTCGCTTGTGGGGGCGAGCTGTCAGGGCACGGGAAAATGAGTGTGGTTTTGGTTTTAGTTGGCAGGGCGAAGAGGCGGAAAGTTGGACGTGGTATTAGCTTTTTGTCGTGTCTCCTGGTGTACTGAGCATATGATACATGCTTCTGAGAGGTATTGGTTAACAGATGCTGGCGGCACAAGTGACGTTCAGGGTGTTTGATTAACACCATCTACTTCTAGTCATATTCCTTCGCACCCCTGTCTCCACTGTGCATTTGTCCTCTTGCTCGTTCTGTCATCTGTTTAGCCGCTATCCAAACCTTTGTACTTTTCTCCTCATCCTACACCTTATGTAAATGAAAGGACACCATAACAAAAACAGATAGTATTCAAGACCCTTGCTAAGATCCATAGTTACATAACTTAGCAGTGCGTGAGAAGAGAACAGCTGAAGTTTCCTAGTACTAGCGGGGAGGCCGGAGGCCAACCTATGCAACGTCCTCATCTCTTTATCAAGTCTTGTGGCAAATCGCCGGGACTATTCCCATTAGAACTGTCTTCATACCCAGGCCACTCACTTACGCTTCTGTTAGGGTGCATCTAATTCCCACAGATCCAGTGCTTGATAACATCATGCACATACGCAGCGACATGGTCACAGCCAATCTTCTGATCAGCTACCCTCGTACAACCACCAACTCGCGAACCGTCATCACTCCTATACAGGCCAAAGTCATCGGTGCCGCAGTTCGCAAGGTGGTCTATACTATGTAAGTCCGACATAACAAACGGAGCAAGAAATTAGACTTACAAGGCACGCTATCAATAACAAAGTTGCGCTCGCATGGGTTCTGGTAGACGGGGGCAAGGAGGTGGTCATTACGACACGGGTCTTTGCCTTCTTTCCAGGCGACGGCGTAGTTCTCGTCCCAGTTGATTTGCTCGCCAGTGCTGATTTTGATGGCGGCTGTGCTGCTGACAGCGACGGCAAGGGAAGTGAGGATTATCTGGGAGACCTTCATGATGGATGGTCGAGGAAGAACAAGTGTTGGGACCTTGAGCTGTTTTGATCAGGGAAGAGCGAGAGATGCAAGCAGCAGAGTACCGGGAAGATTTATACCTTTTCAGCGACATGAAATTGTTTGTATGTAGATTAGTGGACAACTGGTGGAATAAATAGAGATTACTCAACAGCTTGTTAAAGATTACTCAACAGGTCGAATAAATCAAGACTTTCTTTCGAAGCAGATGAAGAGAGAGAAACACGACAGGGACAGCACATGCCCTGACTGGTCATTTGTTGTATATTCATCAGCTGGTATGCAGGCGTTGACCACAGCCTCGATCATCAAAGTGACGATTGTCCTGCAATGAGCGCTCAAATCCGGCCGGCTCAAAGAGATCTCCCTGACGGGGCTATCAAGTCAATGCCAACTCTAGAAATGAATCTTGTATGAGCTTGGGAATGACAAGCATCAGACGGCCACGCCAGCTATTCTAGATAAACAACAATGAACGTTGAACGAATCTATGAGATCCATAATCGATTAAATTGGTCTTGCGGGGGACCTATGGAGGAATACTTGGCATTGTGGTGGTCAGTAATCCTCAGAGAGATTGGGGTGCAAGCCAGGCTCTCGGCTACATATTGAGGCTGGTATGCATGTTGCAATGCGTATTTTTAATCATTTAGCGTTTACCCGGCGTGTCGAGGATGAAACTTAGCCCGCGAAGGGTGGTATAGCGCTTCCTCTTGTCTCAAATGGATTGAAGGCTTCTCGCTCTATCCAATTTGGAGAAAGATCCCGCTGTCTTCGATCCTATCTTTGGGAATAGCTCTTCAGAGTTCCCATAGCAGGCTGTTGTTATTACTGCGAGGATGCATTTACCTGTATACGTTCAACGCTTAAACTTCGGACGAGCTGAGCTGCAATTAATCGCGGATGTAATGTTTCCTATTATGACAATAATTGGATTCCGACAATAACCGCAATGAGACCAAAAGCAGAAAAACGCAGAAAAACGCAGAGACGTGTTGAGAGAAACAACGAGGGAGATGAATGCGAATACTTGTCCTTATATTAGTGTGGGAGCGGAATAAGGTTGGGTGGACCATTCTGGCCAGACTCCATTCGCAGGGGCCACGTGCTCTGATTGAGAAAGGATAGACAGGTCCTTGCCACATTTTTGGGTCTTTTTGATGCAAAACAGGGTGGAGGACTAGTTTGACTTCCTTTAATATTGTTAGTATTATTGCTGGGGTCCAGATCCCGTGCAGGACTATCCACTATATTCTTTGCATCTTATTCGCATAGCAAGGAAACATCAACGCTATCAATGGCAGTACTGGCCAATAATAGGCGCTCTCGTATAGTTCCCGCCATAACAGGGAATACGAAGCGTACTGTATCCACTTCCCCATCTGGTTCATGAGGGAGACCAGGAAGGATCATCAAGGATCATCTCACTCACTGTTGGATTCGGTGGGTGGCTCTAGAATATTACGCCGACTGGCCACTTACCACTAGCTCTATTTGAGAAGGGTCGCAAAATCAAGATAGATCCGTTGCATTATTGTCTGAATCTCTTCTTCAAACCGATACATCAAACCGCCATCCCTCGACAGGTCCACTGCGGTGAGAATCATTTCCCAAGTGGGGGTTTTTTCCCCGAAGTCATAACCCAATTCGGCAAAGGTTGAGATGATCACAACGGCAGAGAAACTATGCAAGCCATTGCCCCTGAACTCAGCAAGATCTTCGCTCAGAGGGACATCTTTGCCGACTACTCCGTATTAGATCGTGCAAAGATGTCAGTTTTTGTCAATAGCATCGCGATTTCCTTCTTCTGCCATCTACCTACCTCCCCACCCACCTGCCCCTCCCCCAGGCCCTTGATCTTCACTTCTACACTATCTACCTCCATGTCCTGCACCGCAGTTCTTGATGATGGCAGACGCATCAGGCGATGACCGCGGCTGGATTCTCCACGCAGTCTCGTGGCCGCTGTTTGGAATCTGCGTTCTTATCACTGCTACCAGATTCTGGGTACGTGCGCGCATCATTCGGAGCTGCGGCTGGGACGATGCATTCATCCTGCTTGCATTGATCTGTGCCGCTGTCAATACTGTACTGGTAACTCTGAGTATCATGCATGGCACTGGGCGTCACATGCGTGATCTATCACACGAGCAACAGATCGCTTCAGTAAAGTACCAGCTGCTTTCCCAGGGGTTTCATGTCATGTCAACAAATTGGGGGAAGGTGTCGGTCGCCTTATTTCTGGTTCGCATTATTTCGGAGGTGAAGCAACATAAGCGAGCCATGTATGCGGGAATGATACTCCTGTCTATCATTAATATCGGTGGTGTCTACACAATCTACGGGCAGTGCACACCCACTGCAAAAGCTTGGGATAATGACATCAAAGGCACCTGCTGGCCAGCGGGAGCACAGAGAGATTACGCTTTTTTTCAGGGCTGTACGTATGGCTGGACGGACCTTCTCTTTAACGATGTTGCTAATCGGGGACGCTGTAGCTGCCTCTGCATTCAGCGACTTGGTTCTGGCGGTATATCCTCTCCTTACCATCAAGGATTTGCAGATGGCCACGAAGGTTAAATTTGGGCTCGGCTTCGTGCTCTCGCTTGGTATCATGTTAGTCAAAATTCCCGCCTCAACTCCTGTGTGCTGTACTCTAACGTCATATCGCATAGCGCAATGGTGGCTGCTATTATCAAGACCGTCCACTTGGCGGCACTGTCGGCCAGAACAGATTATACGTGGGATACGCTCACTCTGACAGTCTGGGTTTCAGTCGAACAATATCTCATTATTATAGCCGCTTGCATTCCTGCACTCACGCCTCTTTTCAATATCATTGTGCGTCGAGTAACCAGCAAGCGGTCCAAATCCAAATCAACTCCCAACGAGCTGGGAGCAAGCGACCGCAAGTTGAGTCGCCCTCAACCCTACCTGCCTTTTGCAAGCGTAGGGCGAGAATACGTCGAATATCCCATGACCTGCGTCGGGTCAGCGAAGGATTCCAAGCGCCGTAGCAGTGACAGTGAGGCGCTCATTACGATCGAGCCTAGTTCACCCACCGGGATCCTCAAAACAACCGAGTTTCATATCCAGGGGCTAGTACGATACGATGGAATGTGACGATTATTCATGTATTTCAGCTTATGTCAAACTATTTCACATTAATGTCATAATAACCAGAATTACGTCCGGCGTGCACCTACCTATTCGTCGCAATGCATGGAGGAATGGCTTGACTGTCTCAAAGGGACCTGACCATATTGTGCTGGAGATACCATCACTCTAAGGCTACTGGAAGCCCCGTTGTCCACCCGTTCAGACCCTCTGACTTATACCAATGGATTGCACCTCCAGCTCAGCTGTACTAACCTGCACTCATTGTTCAATTCTCATTTATAGAGCGTCATGTCTTCAAGGGCGAATAAATCTCCTATCCGAGATCTACAGCCGTTGTACTGCATATCTTCGGGTGAACACAGACACGGTTGGAGTATCTGCAACCCTTCTATAACTTCTGTATGTGTCAGAACTCCATCGCGAACCACAAAGAGTCAAATACCTGCACCTCAGTGAAGTCTTGTCCGGCTGTGCAGCAGGATATATAAATTTAGGTTGTAATTATCCCCAGGCAATGAGCGTTACCTAAGCCTTCGACGCTAATATCGTGCCAGTCAATGACACTTTCGCATTGCTAACCATTTCGGGACGGTCTGCGCTCACTGACTTCAAATCTGGTAGTTTTGCAGCCTTTGCTCAAGAGTTCTCCAAGAAACTTCGGGATGGTTGCTCGTTTCCTTTCGCTGCCTCTTTGAGCACTTTCGCAACCTCCACTTGACATGTTAACATCTCAGCGCACTCCAGAGCAGTCCGCCCATTTACATCTTGATGCTGCGGTCTATTCCTCCAGAGACCAAAAACTGGACCATCTCTACGTTTCCAAGCTCAGCCGCCTTATATGCTAGGATTTTCTGCTGGCAATCCCGCCCAACTCCAATAGAAGCATTTCATCCTGATTGACCTGCCATCTATGTCAGTATAACGTAGTCTCTGAGAAATGATGTGATGAGACTAGGCTCAAATTTGAGGCAATATAACTATGCGACATGCAGAACAGGGACCAGCCCAAAATCAAGGTCTTATACGAAAAGACGTTGGGAAGAACCTGGTTATGAACACTCGACTGACGGCGAGATAACATGGTTCTGGTTTACTTTATATGGCAACCCTATAGCTATCCACGGAACGAAGCCGGAAGACCGACCGTGGTTCGCTTGAAGCTTGTTTAGCTCTTTTGAACCGTTGGGTCTCGTTTTGTGGTGTATCGGTATGATGGGACGATCCACAGTTTGCATGGAATTCCGGTGTTTGGAAGTTTCCGCTATGTCTGAAATAGATTTTCTCCATGGGTTTCTGTTATGTTGGCTAGTATTGTAGTAGAAATGTGCCATGAGCCATGATGCTTACAAGGTTAATATGGGTGTTGTTGCAAGTTTCCAGGATGTATAACATATTCAAGCAATTGATCTGACAGCCTTAGCCTGAGGAAAAAATTCATTTGTCTTTAGAGGAAATGCATAATAGATGAAATAAGATCAAAGAAGACCAATTGGTTCGTCTATATAGAATTGAAAAGATTTGTACAGTGCGAAGAAAGTAGGCAAGCGGTTAATCACAATTGTATAGCCCAAGTCGAGAGAAATCAGAAGAGAGGCAAAACTGCCAGTATGTCCACTGTATCCCATGCAATAGTTGCAAGCTCTTACCAGAATCTGTATAATCATTAGCTTAATCCACGGTACCGAAGAAACTGACATACCTCATGACATAAGGGCAGATAGACTCTCCACCATAAGAGGTCCAGATAGCCTGTTCTCTGACAGGAGTACCAGTCTTCGCAGCGTTGATCATCCATCCGTCCCGGATGAAGATACCAACGTGGGCAACCTTGTTGCTGCAGTCACCACCGGTAGCCCAGAAGAGCAGATCACCCTCCTTAGCCTGTGCGCGAGGAATCCGCTTGCCCATGTTCGAGTTGTACTGCGTCTGCGCCGTGCGGGGAATGGTCTTCTTCAGCGCCTGGCAGACGGCGTACTGAGTCAAACCGGAGCAGTCGAAGCCGCCGCCAGAGGGACCCTTGCAGCCACCACCGCCCCAGACGTAGGGGAGGCCCTTCTCCTTCTCGGCTGCGTCGACGATGGCCTTGCCCGATCCGCTGCCGGAGCCGCCGCCGCTGCCTCCACCGCTGCCGCCGTCGCAGTGCTTGGTGACGTAGGTGGAGGAACCGGTCTTCACGTAGTAATCAGCGACGTAGCAGCCGTCGGAGGTCTTGTCCCAGATCTTGTCGCCCTTGACGTCGGTGCCGGGGGCTTGGCAGACAATGGAGACATCGTGGCCCTTGGGGTAGGACTTGACAACGGGGTGATCGGTGCCGGGACCGGAGCGGCAGTTGACGCCGTCGCCAGTGATGGGGTAGGCGCTGACTGAGGGAATGATGGCTGCAAGGGATGCAGCGACGATGGTGAGGTACTTCATTTTTGTGAGAGAAAGGAGATGAGAATTTGAGATGTGTTTTGATTAAGGCTTGATGATGTTGTTGTTGAAGTGGACTCAGACACGGGCAGATCGTACCTTTTATAGACATTGAGCTCTTGTTGCTGCTTCTTCCCCATTTCAAGAGATTCTTCAGAGCCTGTCGATCCGAAGGAGCACATCTCGTATTCCCACAGAGTCCAAACATGAACGCTCGTGTTTTCTCAATTCAGGGTCCAGGAAAGGGGCCGAATATCGTATCCGAGGCCAAGTTTAGAAGCGTTACATCGACTAAGGTCCTGTGAGTGCCCGGCTCGTACTGTTCGTGTTCCTGGGAATCGAAGGAGTAGGAAGCCATTAGGAGTTAAGCAGAAGGGCCTGCTCTAAAAATAGATCTAAAAATAGCATCCAAGAGGACACAAGCTCTGAAGCTTAACTCGTCAAGGCCATCTTTCTCGTTCTTCTCGTGTTGCAGATTAGTCTGCAGATCACCCACAGCGAATCATCGCCGAATACGAGATCAGACCATCACAATACCCCAGGGGTATGTTCCATTAGTGTGATTTAATCTGGCCTAATAAACTAGTTTGATCCGTATTTGTTTGAACCCTGGTGCGTGGAGGTCATCATGTAGCGTCGATTCCTTTTTGAGAGTCATTCAGCGAGACTATTTGCGCGCGTTACAAGACGATGCCCTTGATAACCTAAGTCAAGCAACACGCGAAAAATTTCTGATCTCTTGACAGGAATCTGAAGTTCTTGGTCTCTGTCGAACTGGTTCTCGACTCTATCCTGGATGCAATGCAACCTTGAAATAGAAAGCCTTGCTCGTATTTTGATTAAGTGGCTCACTGAGCCTGCAAGTCTTCATTTCATTGAATCAGCTGCTCCTAATCAGTAGTAGTGGTTGAGTAAATCTCCGAGAGACGATGTGACACTCGAGATCCATTGCAAGCTAATCTTTCCTTTCGATCCTGGGGACTCTCTGGCTAGTTAGACTGCACCGAATGCCTCGCCAAACCGAGGTTCAATGGTATCCAGGTTATCCTCTTGTCTCCTAAGGGACAGCAGCAGTCGGGCTCCCGAAATCTAAAGCTGGGAAAGACGAAGTCTAGTCGCCGTGGAAGTGGTGTTCGTGCTCCGATTGCACCGTGTATCGACTGCCGCTCTCGGATGAACCCGTTCATAAGTGTCGTTTACAACGACGGACGAAGCCCTTCATTCGGGCAGGCCATCCGTACTATGTCTCGCCTTTAGAAGTACTAGATGCGCTGAAGGACGGAGGGTTTTGGAACGACGCGCTGGATGATTATCGATATGAGCTGGGGAAGGAGGTGAGACGCCATGGCGTGATGGGATTGACGTGGGAGAGTACTCTGTTGCTTTGCTTGAGACGTATACTGGGAAGTGGTACCCTTGAAGACGTTCACGATCGATTGGAATCCTACAAGCTGGTCTTGAGGGAGGTGTAAAGACCTTCAAAGCCCTTGCTGTCTAGCCAGTTTGTTTGACCACATTATTGGATCAGGCAGTAAACATCAAGCTTGTGCCTGCTTCAAGGAGGATGACAACCCGGTGACGGCGAATGAAGTCATCCCCCACCCCGGCATATATAAACACTTAGCAACACATCTACTCCAATCAGACAAACAACTACGAACAATCATCATCAGCAGCATCAGCATCATCAAAATGCCTCCAATTCGAATTCCGATCTCTCGGTCACTGAGACCTTACAACCGTACGTGACAAAGTGACCCCCCCCCCCCCCACCCCCCAACCTCTCATCCACCAGCACTGACAGAAATCAGACGTCCGATTCCTTGCCACAAAACCATCTGGATCATCTGGAAATCCGATCTCCAGCAACCCCCAGGCTTATTCTATCAACAAGGCCCGCGGAAGGGAGGCGGGGCACTCCGACGAAGCAGATACACGGTCAGTGCAATCGCCGGTCTCGATGCACAGGGCACACCCCTCGGAGGCGCACGAGGGCGAGGAGCAGACGAGTGCGGATGCAATGATCAAGAATGACCCCAACGAGCCGACAGAGAAGAAGAGAGAGAATGTGGAGAAAGCGGGGAGCAGGAAGATGGGGCCGGAGGATGAACAGAAGTCACGGAGGTCTAGGGTTTAGGCTGAATATATCTACCTCGTTGACTATGTACATTACTACATTAAGACCATTGAATGCAGACGATTGATGATCTACCTAGGTAGTATATGTGTAAGGGAATATAATATAATATTGCATAGGATGAAGCTGATAATCGATGGAGGACGATGGATGACGTCACCGTTGCGTAGTGTATCTCTTATCTCTTTTTTTAGTATCCTTTTTTATCTGACAGCGACGGATCAAGATATTTTAAGGGGCGTATCATGAGACCTGCTCATTTCAGCTCGGACCAAGTCGTAGATCTTATGCATCGGTGATGGCATTTCTGCTTTACTATTTCTACATCTACTGTCCGTAAATAAACACAACTGCGGAACTTCAATTCTACTCTCTAGAGCAAACAGCAAAATGGGACCGCTATCAAGTTCTGCATCAGACGATAAGCTTACGCTCAAGGATGCGGGAGGAAATAGTGTAAGCCTAAGCCTAAGTCTACTGTCTACTGTCGGTCGAAACTAAGAAAAATAGGCCCTAGGATCTCGACCCTCGCAACAAGACCAGTACACCATCCTCCTCCCCGCGCAGATTCCTTTCAAGACAGAAAAGACACTCCTCTTCCTCGGAGTCTACGACGGGCAGTAAGTCTCGACGTATCCACGCGATCATGAAATCGTCAAGTATATACTGATAATCTGGTCCTCCAGCGTGACATCCGACGTCTCCCTCCACGCCAAACAACACCTCCACCGTCTCATCCTCGAATCCCCCGACATCCAAACAGGCAACTACGAGAAAGCCATCGAAGACGCCGTCCAGAAAGAGGACAACCTTCTCCTCGATCAATTCAAAGCAGGGAACGAGGTGTTTGGCAAATCCGGCTCGACCTTCTCCGTCTGCCTAGTGGATCTCACGGACGGGGTTCTGATCGTGGGAAACCTAGGCGATTCGCATGTTCTGCTCGCTGAGCATTATCCCAATGGCTGGGAAGTGGTGAGTTTAGCCTACTTTTTTGTCAGACGGTGCTAATGCCATGATAGAAACGCATCACGAAAGCACATAAGCCGGGCTCCGACGCGGAAAAGGAACGCATCAAAGAGGCTGGGGGAGTCGTGAATCGGGAGCTCGGGTCCCCGCGAATAGGTATTTCACTTCCTCTCTCTTCCAATGCTTCAATTGCTAATGACAGCCGCAGGCGCCCTGAACATGTCACGCGCGCTCGGCGACCTCCAGTACAAAGCGCCGCTAATCAACGCGGATGAACCATTCTCGCTCGAGCAGGAGATTGCCGGGTTCAACCCGGACAAGGAACAGGGGGATCTACTGTCTAACCGACCGGCTATCTCACGGATTGAACTCAAGGAGGACAGAAAGTATATCGTTATTCTTACGACGGATGGGGTGACGGATGAAATGGAGGATCGGAGGATACTTGATCGGGCCGTAGCGCATTGGAATTATGGGACTCAGGCCGAGGGCGTAGCGGGCAAGATCACGACGGAGGCGACAGGAGGGCCGATGAGTGATAATGCGACTTGTGTATGTGCTTTTATTTATGGGAGGCAGCATGATTCGGCATAGCATGGCGTAGCATAACATAGCATAGCATAGCATACGTTGTGTTCAGAAACTCCCAGACTATGAACATAGAGATGAATATACCCCAGCTAATTATTGTACTTTTTGTCTTCTGGCTATCTATAAAATAAATTCGTATATGCCTATGATATGCGAGAATCATATGTTATATCAGCTCCACTCCTGAGCTATAAAATGACATCACACCGGACCGGAACGGACGTCATTCTCTATCTGATAAACAAGATGCTTTATAACCTATTGGATATGAGTCTTGAGAGTCGTGATAATACAGAAATCCTGATTGCCTGATCAATTTGCATGTGATTCTCCTGGTATTATACTTAACTGCCATCAATTGGCCTCTCCATCCCCATCAACATACTCAATTCAATCTCCTCCACCTGAATCACTGAACCGCACAAAAAACCACACTGAACCACAAAATGCCCAGCGTCCCAGACCTCATTCCCGAATCCGACCTCAACGACCCCAAAATCCAAACAACGGCCCCAAATTGCCCCGTCACATCCGAGCGTCCCCCCGCAACATCCACCGCAACATCCATCCCGAACCCAGCCGTCGCGCGCGCCAACGCCGCCATCTCAATCGACAAACCCAATGGCGACGCAGACTACATTGCCAAATATGGCGACTACGTACGTCCCTTCCCTAATCCCCAGAAAGTAATGCACCAGAAAGCTGACTCACACAGACCCCATTACAACAACACGTCCTCTTCTGGGACCGCGACCACGACGGCCAGATCTACCCGCTAGACACCTACAAGGGCTTCCGCGAGCTAGGCTTCAATATCCTCTTCTCGATACTGGCGGTACTGATCATCAATTTGAATTTCTCGTATCCGACGCGGTTGGCGCATTCCGTTATCCCGGATTTGTGGTTTAGGGTTTATGTTGACAGCATATACAAAGCTAAGGTGAATTTTCTTGCCTCGGAAGAATGATGGAGCGGGCGCTGATGAGAGTGATACAGCATGGTTCTGATAGCGGGACGTATGATCCCGAAGGACGGTTCATCCCGCAGCATTTCGAGGATATGTTTGCCAAGTATGATCGGGATCAAGACGGAGCGTTGACACTGGGGGAGTTGTTTGAGATGATGCACGGGAATCGGTGTGCGGCGGATCCGTTTGGGGTAGGTCTTTTCCTTTGGATTTGATTGAGGGGAGCTAAGCTTACGACTGCAGTGGGGTGCTGCGTTCTTTGAATGGGGAACAACGTGGCTGTTGATTCAGCGTGATGGACGGGTGTACAAGGAGGATTTGAGGGGGGTATATGATGTACGTCATTTGCAAGGAGTGACGGTGATGATGACGATGCTGACGTGCGATAGGGATCGATATTCTGGAAGATCCGCGAGGAGAGGAAGAAGGGAGGTTGGAAGCAGGGGTATGGCGTTGGAGGGGATGGGTTCGTTGGTGCAGTCAAGATGTACTGATATCCATACATATGTCCTGATATCACGATTTATGTACAAAATGCAGCATGTATACACGTTATGCCTCGTGGAATTCATCTGTTGCCATCTTCTCGTAGACCATACCCCGTCCCAACCGCGGTCTTCAATGTCTTGACATCGACTACAACCACCGGTTGTACTGCATGTTAAGATTGATAAATAGACACATGGCACTGAGGCATAATCATGACATGTTCTGGCAATGGCAACAGACATATCTGATAACGGATAGCATGAAAGGTACTACAGTCAAGGTACGTAGTATAGGTAATATATTCCTACGGCATTCTGCGAATCCTTTAGTCCTGATCCGGTTACTTCTAGTCAACCTTGCCAGTTGCGGTCCAACAGAGATGCTAGTCCCGTGCCAGCGCCATGGCTTCCCAAGGCTGGTCGTACCAAATCTAATGAACCAACATATTCCTTAGTGAAGAATATCATTTCTAGTGACAGTAGCATGCGTTCCTTGTATATCTGGATCGAGGGGCGCGTTTGCTGCTATGATAGGAATCCATACTATGTGTGCAGAAGAATCAGAGGTAAATGCCGCAGTAATATAGAAAAGAGCTTGTTATAACAAGATCAGCTTATGAGCATCCCTATCATCGCATTGCTGCAGATTCCATTAGCATCAGAAGTCGATGGGTCATTATCCTCACAGGCTATAGGTCCAATAAGTGATATGTTTGATTACATCTGGGGGTACTGGTATTTCGAAATTTGCAGAAGTAGGTGACATAAATTGAGATAAGTTACTGTACAGTAGCAACATACCTTAGTCATTGTCTGCTCCCTCCAAATCTATAAATACTCCCATGTCATCAGCTACCTATAGTCCCTTATTGACGCCTCTCTTTTATTCCTTGCATTGCATCTGTCATTTCTGTCATTGTCAATAGTAAAACATGACCCACTCTCACAACCACAGCCACGACGGCACCAACAATGGCCACGGCCACTCGCACGAGATCCTCGATGGCCCGGGCTCGTACCTCGAACGAGAAAAGCCGCTCGACTAGGGCCGCGATTGGACCGAGCGAGCATTTACCGTCGGCATCGGAGGGTAATCATATCTAACCCTTGAGCTAGCAAGAACGAAGCTAACTGACAGCAAGGCCGCTTGGGTCTGGCAAGACAGCGCTGATGCTCGCCCTCAGTCGGGCCCTGAGAGACGAATACAACATTGCAGCTGCCACGGACGACATCTTTACCAAGTATGCCAAAACTAGCACGAAGGCCTAGACAGGGACGCAGGGATCGACACCTGGCGGAATATCCTACCAATGACATCTGCAGGAATGCATGGCAAGCTTTGCTTTTTGTCGCATTTTTGTCTAGCAGCGTGGGTATGATAAAGTATGTATGGGATCCTGACGGTTTCTTCTTGTATTTATACTGTATTTTATGAATTCTTGGAACAGAGTAGAGTATTTGCAGTTGGGTAGTAATATATAGTGAGGGCGGGTAAAGATGGACTCGTCCGAACACTCATCTGAATGATTCGGCGCCGATTCCACCCGTCTCATAGCAGCAACATTGCTATGCACCTTCTTCCCTCTGTCCATTAGTGTTGGCTTGGGGGACGTTCCCAGATTGATATAGAGATGTACCTAGGTTGACGGACCGGTATTGGAGTCGTCAACATGACGTAAATGCTTGGCAATCAGATAAGGTACCTCTCTAGGACATATCCGATATAGAACAGCATAGTAGGAGAGGGTAATAGATGTGATTTCACAATGACATTCTGCAGTCTTAATTCTAGGTTACTTTCGGGTCAGCCTTGTTTTCGGTTGCGATCCGAATAGAGAAACTAGTTTCCGCGTCAGCGCCCATGGCTTTCCCACAGCCGGTTGTACCGAGTCTGAGGAAGATATTCCCTGTTAATTCAAGGAAGTACATGGGGTTTCTTGGTATATCGTTAAAAATCAAATTGTGCCTCTGATGTAGTGGTATCCTTCAGTCTTCGACTCTGTTTGGGATGAAATTGCCGTCCTGGTACTGATGAATAAGCTCATCTATTAAGGATGACGTGCATTCGGCATTGCATATACCGGCACCTCTAAGCCGGAAGTCAACGGCCCAGTTCTGCAGATGCTGTAGCCCAGGCAAGTGTCATGATGCAGTATTGAAAGCAAGTTTAATAGCCGTGACCCACTTGGTCTGTTCTTTCCAAGCTTGAATCAGTACTGCTTGATAAGTCCACAGAGGGCTAGATCCATAGTCGTATGTAACATGACAATGCGGCTACAAGTTCGAGACCACGCTATAAAAGCAATCAATTGCCCGGTGAACTGCGAACCATGAACCGTGAACCAAGAGACTGCAAACAAACATCAAGATGAAGTCCCTCGTCTGGGTGCTTGCCGGCTCTGCCGTAGCCGTCCCCCTTGCGTCCGACTCAGGAACAAAGGTTATTAGCATCCCCGCCATCGAGACTCAACCGCCCCGTGGTGATGAGCCTGGTGCGGCCCCTCCGCTGGTCAACAGTGCCAGGACTGGCGTCACCACCCACGGTGCCTACTCTGGCACCCCTACCACCACCGGGGCTGAGCAGTATCCCTCCACGGTGGCGGCCACCATCCCCATCCAGCCCAACCCAACCGCCACGTACTACAATCCCAATGGCAAGCTGACCGAGCCCATGCCTATGCCATACATGCCCGCCGGCGGTGTGGGAACTAACGGCACCGTGCCCGTGTATATGGTGCAGAGCGATTATGACTACCAGTCCGTCGCCTTGGGCGTGCATCAGGAATACATCGAGCTGGACCTTTTCCACTATGGTCTCGAAGTCTTCAGCGAGCAGGACTTTCTCGATGCCGGTCTCACTGTCGAGGACCGCCGCCTGATCGAATACATGGCAATACAAGAGGCCGGCCACGCCACCCTGCTGAGCAACATGTTGGGCGAGTCCGCCCCACGCCAATGCACGTACAACTATCCTTTCAAGACGGTCCGCGAGTTCATTGACTTCAACGTCAAGCTCACCCGCTGGGGCGAGTCCGGCACCTGGGGCTGGCTGAGCCATCTCAACTCCAAAGAGGTCGCGACCATGGTCGTCGAAGCGGAAGCCATCGAAGCCCGGCAGCAGGCCATCTTCCGTCAGCTTCTTGGCCTCCAGCCCATGCCCATGTGGTTCGCTGCCGGTATCCCGCAATCCTGGCACTGGACCCTGCTAGCCCAGTATATTTCGTCCTGCCCGGCGAACAACACTCGGCTGGTCTGGCAGAATTTCCCCAATTTATACGTGGTCAACCAGGCCAACCCCAACCGCATCAACGCGAATGCTACCGCAGCATCGGAAGTTGCCGGCAACCGCACTGGTGATCCGAGCAACTCGACAATCCCAGCGGCCCAGTCCTGCGTCCACAACAATGTCACGGGCTATAATTGCGGACCCGCCATTTCTCGCGACAAGTACAATCCGCTCACATTCCCCGGACGCAAAGTCGAGCTTACCTGGGATGAGCCAGGTCGTGCTGTGGGGCCGAACAACAGCTACGTCACCTCCACGACGGCGGGCCAGCCCTCGTTCGTGGCATGGTTGTCGCAGTTGAACTTGACCTATACCGAGCTGACGGTAACAGGACAGAATAAGGGATATACCTATCAACCGGCGAGCGAAGTATTTGAGACGGATCCAGCCCTGAACGGTACGGCTTTTATTGCACTCACAGACACGGATATGTTTGTCACACCGTACAACCTAACCATGTTGAATCCGCATATCCGTGCTTTGGGATTGTATCAGGCGGGTTGATATCATGTAATATAGTGGATTTTGTCATCTGTTGCAGTCGACAGAACTTTAATGTCAGCTGTGTATGAGCTTCACTTTGGTCAAATGAGTAGCCAGTCCTCTCCTAATTGTCCTATACCGAGTACCCAGTTTGAGGGCCGGTTCTCAGCGCAGTTTTGGGTCTGCCAGTATGACTGTAGAATCTTCCCAGCGTTGACCGTGTTCAAGCACAGGGTGACCGTCCAGAACCTCTCCAAAGCTCGGGTGACAAATTCTCGTTCGATCGACGAGCGACACTCAAGACCAGCAACGAAAATGGGCCATAGGATGCACTTGAACAATGTAGCGTCCTCTTTGAGGGATTCGATGGTACCAAAGAGGTTGTGTAGCACCTCTTCTTGAGAAGTGTCTTCATCAATAAGCATATCTAGAACGCGCTGCCCGTAAATGAGAGCACCCAGTTTATAGCATTCGGCAAGAGTCGCAATATTGTGGGTAGCATGCCTTGTGGATTGAGGGAGATTTGCAGCCCAGGAATAGGTATCAAAGCTGCGGACGGATTCCATCATGAATGAGATGTTGCAAATACTAGCGTCTGACCCTTGTCCAGCGCTAGCAAGATCTCGTTGGAGAGAGAAAAATTGAACCGCGTTGAGAAGCTGCTCCGGACAGCCGAGAAACGACTGTTCGACTGTATCTGGTCCCATTTCTACTTCTTCCGCAACAGGAACTTGTGATAGTAGATTCGGCCGTACAAGGGTCCCACCTAGCGTCTCGATTCTAATTTGTGTTAGCATCAGAAAGGTTCAGAGCAAAGTGTACATACAGGTAAATCTGCTTAGTGATAAAGCTCCGTATCTCCTGTACTGTCCGGCCGGGATCGTTGACTTGTGACAACGACTTGTTCAAAGATAAGAGAGTCTTTGCACCTTCCAGATGGGCATTCCACCGATCGTTCCCTGACTCTACCAGATCAAGGAAGATGAGAAGGAAAATGCTCGCAATAGTTGAATCTGTTCTGCAAGACTCTGGATCACCGACAATTTGCGACAGGCCTTGTATCGCCTGATGTTTAAAGACCAGTGCATCTCGTTGAGCATTATCCATCCAAGGGATCCGTGCTTCACTGCCGTTAAACGTCCGACCTTCATTTGCTCTGTGCCTTGCTGCGAGAGCAAGAACCGCACTGAGCAGGAGGGGATCCTTTACTGCCAGTGAGACCAAACTGCGAAATGGGTTTTGGTTACTGTCATAGACAATGAAGAGCTTGCATATACGATCATTATCTTCTCATCGTTAGCTTAGTATTTTGACCAGCTGGTTTACTTACAATAGTCGAGATAATATTTCGACACTCGGTCCAAGCTTGACATGGATACGTCCCCTAAGCCAGTAGGCAAATCTCGTCGACCTGAAATGGTAAGAGGCAGTACAACAGGAAGTAGCAACAGAGCGTACCTTCACGTCTTAACTTGATCAGGCCCTGCCCATCCCCTGCAAGAATATTTAATCGACTGTACGACACCCCCTGCATCTTGCCTCGGATGGCGACACCCTTGACCCATCTGATGGGGCGTTTCTGGTGACATTCGAATCCACCCTTTTCGCATTTCAAGCAGGGAATACCGGATCTGTCGCATTGTATTCGCCGATGCCGGCAGGTGTAACATCCTTCTAACTCGACCATCGTGGACGACATGCATCAGCCGAGAATTTATCAAAAGGTCGTAATCTTCATCTCATAACCATCATCTTCTTGACGAGCTCGACTCAGACATCCATGCCTAATAGATAATGATAGACTTAACATATGATGGAAGAATTAAGATGAGCAGAGTATGAAATGTGGGTTCATGGATTTGCAAGACGGAAGATGCACGTGCCAAGGCGACCGGGGGATCTGGAACTATCACGTGCTTATCTACTACCTGATCTACAAGTATTTCCTAATCAGGAAACACAGTTCAATCATCGCCAACGTCTATAATACTACTTACAGTCTATCGAATAACTATTTCTTTTCCTTTATTTCCCCCCTCTCCTTCACCGTCTTCGCTATCCCCATCCCAACCTCCGTCCCCAACTTCTCAAACCCCTCAATAACCCCCTCCCGATCCCCCACCCCCATCTCCTGACTCATCTTAAACTTCCCCTGCAACCGCTCAATCCTCACCTCCACCCCAATGATATTCTTCTTGAGAAGCTCCACATACGTCTCCGGCGCATCGCTCACCTTCCACGGACCTGGCCTCTCACCCCCGGTATACCCCATAATCGCGGTCTCCGCATGCCGCGAAAGATCATTCACCTGGCGCGACAGGAACGCACCCGTCGCTTCGGCCTTCGAGTCGCAATACACGGTGATCTTGCCGTAGGCCTGCACGGCGGAGTAGTTCCAGGTGGGCACGACCTTGCCCGTGGCGGGCTTTGTGTCTTTGTAGAATTTGGGCGTGACGTAGTGGTGGTGTGGGCCGTTGAACAGAATGAGGACTTCGTCGGGGAGTTCGAGGGTTGTGGACTGGGTTTGGGCTTGGTGCTGCGCCAATGCTTCCATTAGGGCTTTTGCTTGTGGGTTTTGCTTGGCGATGTGTCCGCGGAGAGTCCCTGGGGCGGGATCGGAATCGGCATTGTCGGTGGAGGTGTCTGGGGTGTCGAGGACGAAGGGGATGTGGCTCGATTGGAGGAGGGGAAAATTGGAAGATTTGATGGCGGTTGTGAGGATTCCGAGGGGATTGTCGCGGATGAACTGTTGGAGGAGGGGGATGTGTGCTTCGGCGTGGACGGCGCGGAGATACATGTTGGTCTGTACTCTGTAGTTCGGATGGTTATTGTCGTTCGTTGTAGGGAACGGGGTTATATATCCTCAATCGTCTGATCGATGAATAGAGCCATGCTCGGGATATCGGCCGTATACAATTGGCTCAGGACGCCGAGTCAGATTGCGTCGGCACAGGGCGTACGCCCTCGGAGCTGCTAGGAGTCATAACTGTCACGGCAGAAGACATTACAAACGGCCGATTTAGAGGGGAACGTCTGCACCCTGATTGGTCCAACTAGATTTATCTCAATCCAAAAAGCTGGTGGCCAATAGTACGGATGGATCTCTGCACTATTCCCCTTTCAGCAGTTGACAGGAGTGGGGCATTTCTTACAGCCAATAGACTCACAGTGTTTCAATCGATCATTGAAAATCGTCACCACTTCCATTCTAGGAAATTCTGGGGAGTGGAGCAGCTTGCTGATTGCCACTACTATCAACTTTGCTCTGTACCATACATCTTATAAATATGAGGAAACCGCATTCTTTATGGGCATCTTCATCTTCTTACCATACTCACACCAGCAAAATGCCTCTCTCACAAGACAGCCACCCTGCCACCAAGGCACTCCATGGCGACGATCGACTCAACTTGGTGACAGACGTCGCACCTCCAATCCATCTATCGACCACATTTCGATACTCCAATGACCCTGACCAATTGATTCCGTCTGAGGATCCCATCGTAAGCCCCTCAAACCCCAAGAGAGGATTCAACTAACAACCCCAGGCCGAATTCGACGGCAAGAACTACGTCTACTCACGGGAGTTTGCACCCAACGCAACCCGCTTCGAGGCAATCCTCTCCACCTTACTTGGTAGCCACGCCGTCAGCTATGCCACCGGCCTAGCCGCACTACACGCAGCCCTAGTCCTGCTGAACCCGCGGCGCGTCTCCGTCGGCGAAGGCTACCACGGCAGCCACGAAGTCATCGGTGTGCTCACCCGTCTTACAGGGCTCAAGAAGCTCCCTCTGGACTGCTCCGCCGACGACCTGCAAGAAGGTGATGTGATCCTCCTCGAGACGCCGGTGAACCCACTCGGCACCGCATTCAGCATCGAAGCGTACGCGCAAAAGGCTCACTCCCGCGGGGCCTACCTCATCGTCGACAGCACCTTTGCTCCGCCAGGCCTACAGGATCCTTTCCTCTGGGGTGCGGATATCGTGCTGCACTCCGGCTCCAAGTATTTCGGCGGTCATAGCGATATGCTCTGCGGTGTGCTTGGTGTCAAGCGTGCAGAATGGCATCGTCAGTTGCTAGAGGACAGGGTCGCGCTTGGCCATGTCATGGGGAATCTGGAGAGTTGGCTCGGTGTGCGTAGTCTGCGTACGCTGGAGGTGAGAGTGCAGAGGGCGAGTCAGAACTCGGCCAAGTTGATTTCTTGGCTGAATGATGCGTTGACGGCTGCGTCGCCGGCGCCGGGGAGTGAGGAGGAGATCGTGCAAAAGGTGCTGGTGAAGATCTATCATGCCAGTTTGCAGGATGAGGAGTGGTTGAAGAGGCAGATGCCGAGTGGGTTCGGGCCTGTGTTTGCGATTGTCATGAGGGATGAGAAGCTTGCAAAGACATTGCCCAGCAAGCTTGCTTTGTTCCAGCATGCAACAAGTCTGGGGGGTGTTGAGTCGCTGATTGAGTGGAGGGCGTTGTCGGATTCCAGGGTTGATCGAAAGTTGCTGAGGATCAGTGTTGGGTTGGAGGATTGGCAGGATCTGAAGATGGATTTGTTGTCTGCTTTCAAGGCTCTTCTTGAGGTTTAGCGGTGTGTCGATTTCGTGAATTTGTTGTTAATGGATCTCGCTTATTCAGTATTCATAGATTTCATTCACGCACTGAGTCAATTTCACTTGAGAATCTGCATTGTCACAAAGAATGTGATTTATTCTTTGCAACAAAGATTTACAAAAGGGTACTCCTTTGTTCGAGAGCTTTAGCCTCATCTATAACTAGCTATGCTGCTCTGTCCCAGTCCTACAAACAGTAAACTCTGCATCTCAAATGAAGTACCCAACACACATCATCGACCCCAACGGGGACGTGATCATGAAACTCCTCAACCCAAATGCTCCGTTTGCTGTATCTGAAGAATGGGACTACGGAGAGGATGACGAATTACCCTCGTGGTTCGGATCAAGACAGTGGAATCCGCTGAACAACGAACATGCAGTCAACTCGCTCCTTGACCTCACCGTCGTTGATCAGGACGACCAGGACGAACCCCAAAAGTCTGCAGCATCAGAGACGCATGTTTCCCTCTTGGCAGAGACCAGTCTAACAAGAACCCCTACTCGACGACAACGTCATCGTCCACGGAGAATGAGCCAAAGTGAATGTCTTCTGAGTGAATACGCACGTATGTCATGCTTCCCTGGGCACGAGTACATGTACATGCTAAGTGTAGATGTCTAGGCAACCCGGCATTCAGCGACGAGTACACCTACCAAGTCTCCTCACGACACCTGATACTCGCATCTCCATTCTTCCGCGCAGCACTAACAAAAGGGTGGAAGGAAACCCACATCCTAGGCACCCACGGCTCTGTCACCTTCACCGTCTACGACTGGGATGACCAGGCGCTCATGATCTTTCTGAATATTATACACGGACAACACCGCGACCTGCCCTGGAAAATAGGGCTAGAGCTCTTAGCGAAGGTCACCGTCATCGCCGACTATTATCAGTGTATAGACGCCATCCAGTTCATGGCGCTGTCTTGGTATGCTTTTCTGAAGCCAACATGTTCCGATCTTGTCCGGCCGAAGGATATTGTCTTGTGGTTGTGGGTTTCGTGGGTGTTGCGTCTTCCAGAGCAGTTTCGGAAGGTTGGCGCAATGGCTATGGACCAATTGGATGAGCGGATGGATTCGTTGGGATTGCCTATTCCAAGGAGGATTTTAGGTAAGTTTTGTTGATTCAGTTCATTTACAATAGCTGATAGAGTTAGATGCTGTCAACCAGCAAGAAGGGTTTCCTAGAAGGCTTGAGGAGGGTAATCATGTACTTTTTTGGTGGCTTTACCGGGGGTGGACTCCAGTTGATCGACCAGGCTGTGACTAAGTACAGAGTCAAGAGAAATGGCTGTTCACATCTTTGTACATGATTGTACGACTCTTGTATTTCATAGATAGCAGAGGTTGCTCAGTAGCTGTTTAGGTAGGCATCTTTATGCCAAGTGAGCTTCTAGTGCTTATACAATAGCCAAGTTTAAACAGACCGGAACAGGCACTGCATAATAGTAACTGGTAGGAGATAACTAAAACTGAGTAGTTATTATCAACTGACGATCGACTGTCTCTTCCCCTCACTGCAATGACACGGTAGTATCACCATACCTGCATATCATGCTAGGTCTCCTTGCAGATAGATGCGGGGAATCCTCATACAGTATATAATCCGCTTCCTACTCGCAGTTAATTGTCATTTCAATGGTCAAGTAACATATCACAATGCGCACAACCAAATCCTTCCTATCTAGCCTAATACTGATAATGATCCCCCTCTCCATGGGGTCAGTCTCCTCCCCAAATCTGCTCCCTACACCCCCAATGGGCTTCAACAACTGGGCCCGCTTCATGTGCGACCTCAACGAAACACTCTTCCTCGAAACCGCCTCCGCAATAATCTCAACCGGCCTCCTGGAAGCAGGTTACAACCGTCTCAACCTAGACGACTGCTGGATGGCCTACGACCGCGCCGCGGACTCTTCCCTCCAATGGAACACCACCAAATTCCCCCACGGCATCCCCTGGCTCGTCCACCAACTTAAAACCCAAGGCTTCCACCTAGGCATCTACCAAGACGCAGGAAATCTCACATGCGGCGGGTATCCGGGTTCCTTCGGGCACGAGGCCCTCGACGCCCACACCTTCGCAGCCTGGGGAATCGACTATCTAAAGCTAGACGGATGTAACGTCTTCCCAGAGCACTCACGCACCCTAGAAGAAGAATACAAAGCCCGCTATTCACACTGGCACACCGTCCTAAAGCAGATGCACCCCCCGCTCATCTTCTCCGAAAGCGCCCCGGCGTACTTTGCTGACCCCGCCAATCTGACCTCCTGGTACGAGGTCATGGACTGGGTTCCTGCGTTCGGGGAGCTGGCGCGGCACTCGACTGATATACTGGTTTATGTCGGGGAAGGCAGCGCCTGGGACAGCATCATGGTGAACTATCACTATAACACGCTGCTGGCGCGGTACCAGCGCCCCGGGTACTTTAATGATCCGGACTTTTTGATACCGGATCACCCTGGGTTGACCATTGAGGAGAAACGCTCGCAGTTTGCGCTGTGGGCGTCGTTTTCGGCGCCGTTGATTGTTAGTGCGTATATTCCGGGCCTTTCGGGGGAGGAGGTGGCGATTTTGAGGAACGAGGAGTTGATCAGGGTTGATCAGGATGCGTTAGGGTTGCAGGCGACATTGGCGAGTCGGGGGGAGAAGGTCGATGTGTTGACGAGGAGTTTGGAGGGCGGGGATCGATTGCTTACTGTGTTGAATCGGGGGGATGGAGTGGCGGTGGTTAAGGTGCCGGTTGAGTGGATGGGGTTGCAGAGGGGGTGTGCGTATAGTGCTAAGAATCTGTGGGATGGGGAGGGGCAGGTTGTGGTGGAGGAGATCGTGATCAGGTTGGACTCGCATGCTACGCAGGTGTACAGAATCGCTCTGCCGGAGGAGTGCTCTACGGTCATTCCAACGGGTATTGTGTTCAATACGGCATCGGGGAACTGTCTCACTGATGTCGACGGCGAGAGAGTTAGCTTCAACGCTTGCAAAGGGTCAGAGACGCAGATTTGGCAGGTCAGTGAGTTGGGAAGTCTACATCCGCTGTCGACAACGTCGCATTGCTTGACTGCAGGGAGTCAATTATCTGTCCAGTTGTGCACTGGACACCAATACCAGAAGTGGACTTATGAGATGACCGGCAATCTCAAGAACGAACACACTAAGATGTGTTTGACGGAGGGGACTGGAATATCTCAATGTGGGTTTGAACGAGACAACCAGGTATTTGGTCTGCCGAGTGGTGTAGACATCATGTCCAGTTAGATAGACCTCAATAAGTTGCAGATATTATCCGCTCGCGTTGGCAATGTCTTAATAGAATGGAATCTTCCAGGACAGAATCCCTTGGTGGCATCCCATCTCTTAAACGGTACAGTATGTACTCATCATATTTTTTGAAAGGATAGCAAGCCTCCGATAAGTTGTCGTCAGAGAACCATAGACCATAGATCAACAATAATTGACGAAAAACAGAAACGAGAAGTACTATGCTTGTGCAGAATCATAACTCTTTTTCGGGTCAAAGGTCGGCCGTTGTCGGAAGAGATTGAACAGAGGAATGAACAGTCTTGGTTGATCATCGGCGGTCTCCATTCCTTCAGTCTGCACCTGCTTCTCGAACCATGACTGAACATCTCCCCAGCTTATCCACCGCCATTCGTCACACTTCTCGGGCTCCATTATCTGAAACCACGAATTAGTAGGGAGACATCGTGGACAAGGGCGGATGGTTCCAACACACCTGGGGCTGTGCATTATCTTCTTTGACGATAGCACCGACATAAACAGTAATATAGTGCTTTCCTTCGGCCTTCATGACATCGTTCGTAGCGGTTAGGAAACGTACGTCATGAATTGAGAGGCCTGTCTCCTCGAGAACTTCCCGTACTGCGCAGGCTTCGAAAGATTCGCCGAATTCGAGGTGGCCCCCGGGAAATGCCCAGGTTCCTAGTCCACTGTCAGACCCCGCTCAAAATACAGAAAAATCATAGAAGACAGAAATACCGGCACCATGGCTTCCCTTCCTCTTGCCCAGAACGACCTTCCCTTCATTGTTCAGGACCACGACTCCAACTCCTACTCTTGGATCCATTATGAGCAGTCTGCAGCAAATATGTATACTGGACTTAACGATGTTTAGAGCGCAGGTGTGCCGTTTATAAAGAATGTCTGTAACACAGCCTTACACAGCCTTCGGGTGAGTCATGTGCGTGAACGCTGGGAGGTAATGCTCACCTAATTCTCAGCTGTGGTTGATTGCACTTAAATTCAGGTATGGGTATTGGTGACCAAATCCAATCTCTTTTATATTGCTCAATGAGCACAATTTTTGACAATGGTGAAGTTGATATGGGTGTGTTGCTGTTGGTGACCTCTGTGAAGACACTTTCCCGTTTTGGAAGGCAGTGCATACAAATCAAACATCTTCAACTTGTCTCCATAACAAAGAACCTCCATTCTCCATCATCTCCTCAGCTCTAGTCTTCTCATTCAAGCCCTCATCTCATGTATCGTCATCATGGCCATCTGAATTGGGTCTGGCTTGACAAACTGCTATACCAATCACAAGTTGAGAATCCGTTATCGCTTGCCCGGCCTGCTGTTGGCCATCTCCCGCACCCCGTTCCCTGCCCTATCAAGCAAGGCACTACATTCCTTATCAAAGCGCCCTGATAACGAGTAATGTCGGAGTCGGACCTTGCATCACCACGTCTGGAGATGTGGAGGTTGGAGACATCTTCCATATCGGGAGCTTCACCATCGTGTGTTTCCTGTCTTGCAGTTGGGTGTTCTGAAATGACAAGCGCAAGAATTATCGGGGAGATGCGGCCAGCTTTTCTTCACATATCTATGACGATGGTACCGTTCAGGAAATGAAGCGCCATGTGACTTCGATTTGAATGTCCTCACTTTGTGCTGCCGCTCCATGGGCCGTGCCACTCCAGATGGAACATGGCTTATCTTCGTGACCCCGCATTGCAGTTGAGTCTGACTAGGATCAGATGGGCAGATCAAGCTTTGAGGACAAGGTTTAAAAGATAGAGAAGTCTCAGGAAATCGTCCAGTCCTTTTATCTTTGCATCATCAGCAATTTGCGGGTCCCGACACAGAATTTGGGCCCTGCTTGAAAACATCACTCACCATGGCTTCTAAGGAGCAGGCTCAAGATCGTATTGTCAAGATATCTCACGCCGGAGATAATCCAGAGGCAGAAATTGGCTGCCTGGATGAGCTTGAAGTTGATCTCGACTCCACCTTGAAGGAGGATGAGAAGTATGACTACGGATCGGAACACTCTCCGTTTGCCGAAGGTCTGTTGAGTGCGCTGTAAATACCAGATTCTCTACTCATTCCAAAGCTGTATAGTCCGAGCAGTTGTTCCTGAAACTGATGATCCACACATGCCTGTCAATACGCTGCGGATGTGGATGCTCGGCGTCGTCTTCACCATTCTAGGTTCTGGGATCAATCAATTCTTCTCCCTCCGTTACCCATCTGTACACATCGTCTCGCTTGTTGCGGAGCTGCTTGCGTATCCATGTGGCGTCTTTCTCGCCAAAATACTACCCGTAACGACGATAAATTGCGGATGGTTGGGCTCGTTCTGCATAAATCCAGATCGCCATTTCAATATCAAGGAACATGCCATCATTGTGATCATGAGCAATGTCTCTTTTGGATACGGCAGTGCCGACTCGACCAACATTATTCAAGCCTCAAGCTCCAACTTCTACAACTTTGGTCTCAAAGCGGGCTTCTCGGTGCTCGTTGTGATCTGCGCGCAGCTGTTAGGCTTCGGGATCGCTGGTTTAGCTGCGCCATGGCTCGTGGAGCCCGCGAGCATTATATGGCCAGGGGTTCTATCGAACTGTGCAATGCTGGAAACCCTTCATTCTCGCGCCAACTCCGTTGCGGATGGATGGAAGATCTCTCGCTTGCGCTTCTTTCTGTACGTCACTGCTGCCGGTTTCCTGTGGTACTTCTTTCCCGGGCTCATTTTCACGGCCCTTTCCTATTTTACCTGGATCTGTTGGATTGCACCCAAAAACGTTATTGTCAATCAGCTTTTCGGCATGCAGACGGGACTGGGCTTGAGTCCCATCACGTTCGATTGGAGCCAGGTAGCGTACAATACGAACCCCCTTCTATCTCCATCTTGGGCAGCCGTCAACGTTTTCGCGGGCTTCGCAATCTTCTTCTGGGGTGTTGTTCCTGCTCTCTACTACACGAACACTTGGTATACTGCTTATCTTCCAATGATGACGGCGGACGTGTACGATCGGACAGGGGCTGTCTACGACACAGCTCGAGTGGTTAGCTCCCAAAAGACATTGGATATCGATGCTTACAAGCAGTACTCGCCTCCGTATCTAGGCGCCACATTCGCGTTCGTCTACGGACTCGCCTTCGCGTCGATTACGTCCGTCCTTACTCACATTGCAGTCTGGCAAAAGAACGACATCTGGGCAGCAATGAAGGGCAAAAATAGGCTAGACATCCATGCTCGGCTCATGAAATCATATAGGAAAACTCCCTGGTACTGGTATGCTGCGGTCATTGTGGTAGTGACCGCTATCGCCATTGTGCTCGTCGAGGTCTACGAAACGAAACTCCCCGTCTACGGCGTGTTCCTTGCCCTCATCATCCCAGCCCTCTACATGGTGCCCTGCGGAATCGTCCAGGGCATCACCAACGTCGACGCAAACCAGCTCAATGTCCTCAGCGAGTTCATCGGCGGCTACATGTTCGAAGGCAAGCCCCTGGCTAATATGCTCTTCAAAATCCTCAGCACAGACGTGGTCGGCCAAGGCGTCTACTTCGCCATGGACATGAAACTCGGCCACTACCTGAAGATCCCTCCACGGCTTCTCTTTGTCGCGCAGGGGACGGCCACCATCCTCGGAGCCCTGACCCAGGCCGGCGTCACCCTCTGGATGCTCGCTAACATCGACGGCATCTGCACTGAGGACCAACCAGACGGCTTTTCCTGCCCCAACGGCCGAACCGTGTACTCATCCTCCGTCATCTGGGGTCTAGTCGGCCCGCGGCGCCTCTACTCCGCCGGAAAAATCTACTCGTCTCTCCTGCACTTCTTCTGGATCGGCGCCCTCGCGCCACTAGTCACGTACTTCCTGTACAGATACACCAAGCGCAGCATCTTCAAGTCCATGAATTGGCCTCTCATCTTCGTGGGCACATGGAACGTTCCGCCGGGTAAGTGGCTAGACTTCAATGCTGCAGTGCAACCAGCTACTGATGCGTTCCTAAGCAACGGGTATCAACTATTCCAGCTGGGCTCTCGTCAACTTCGCCTTCAACCATGTCATCAAGCGCCGCTTCTTTGCTTGGTGGACGAAATACAACTACGTCCTCGCAGCGGCTCTGGACACAGGCCTTGCCCTTAGCGGCATCGTTATATTTTTCTGCATCTCGTATCCTGGTGCCGTGTTTCCGGACTGGTGGGGGAACACAGTATACCTCAACACGGCGGATGGACAGGGAGTCGCCTGGAAGCCAATGCCGGATGTCGGTTACTTTGGTCTACCGAACGGAACTTGGACCTGACGTCACGCCAGTATCCCTCTACAGCGGTGACAAAAATCGGCACATATTGTTTCATATACGCATGAAGGCACGCATTTGCCTACTCAGCTACTTTTTTTCTATTGCAATCGTCGGACGGAGCTTGTTGAGAAATGATTGTATACATCCAGGTTACCTCAATGTTTCCCATTAAAAACCGAACTAAACTGCCATATCAAGTAAAGAGGAATAAAACAATGCCGGGAGAAAATCGAAAGCAAGAATCCGGAAACCGTAGCTTGGTAAAGAAAGCAGCGAGCAGACCGGGTGTCCGAGAAGACTTTGCCAAAGTTGGTCGGTTCAGTCAATAGGAGTGACCTGCCACGCCTCGAATAAAAAGAAAAATGATACATCATGAAACATTTACTGCACGAGGGGTCAGTGTCTGTACGTCCACAGCGCATGAAGAAACAGGGGAAGCTTACAGAAATCTCGGCCATTCCAAGATCCTCACCACCGGCAGCAGGCTGCTGAACAGCGCCGTTTGCAGCGGCAGGGGCATTGGCATCTGCGGGGCCACCATTCTCGTTGCCGGCAAAGTAGTCTACCATCTCGGCATCGAGCTCTTCGACGGTCTTCGGCTTAGGACGGTTCGAGCTACGGGCACCACCACGGCGGCCACGGCGGGCGCCACGGCCCCGAGCGGTGTTGGCGGCCTTGGCGGCTGTGGCAGGCTTGGGCTGGGATTTGACTTGACTGTGCCAAATTAATAGAAGATCATCAGAAAAAAAGAAAGCGTGAGAAACTTACGCGACACGCTCTGTAAGAGGCTTGGGTGCCGGCACGCTGGGAGCGTGGGAAGCGTCAACCACTACTTCAATCTATGGAGAGTTAGAGACGATCGGAATGAAAATAAGGACAATGCGCCTCCCACCTTCATGGGTCTTCCATCAACAAGAAGGCCGTTCAACTCCTTGGCAGCCTTGGCGGCTGTGTCGGGCTTGCTGAAGACAATCGAAGCAATACCACGGCTGGTGCCGTTCTGGTTGTAAGTGAGCATCACTCGCTTGACGGGACCTGCGGATTTTGAGAAGTATTCCTAATGGACGGGAAAGATGATCAGTACTGCAGTCAAGATCAAGTCACGAAACCTGGTAACGACGGCGGCATGAACGAAACATCGACAATTGCGCACAACGGCCCCCGAACAAGTAGCACAGAGCATCAGCGAGCACACAGCGTTAGCGTTATGTTCCACAGGGAACCCGAATTTCCACTTCTACGATCATGAAGCCCCAAGACCCTTTTTGGGAATCCATATTGACCTTCGCGGCACAATCCCCTTCAAATAATGGCCGGGCAAATTGATCCCTCCAGGGCATGAACCGACCTCAGCAACCATTAAGAGCAAGACTGGACGAATGCGTCTCAGTGCCCTGCCGCGATGCAGATATCAAACGTCCACGCCCGAAGGCGACCTGCCATCAACGAAGTGACCGTTCCATGGCTTAAAATCCAAGACGAACAGAGAAATTTCGACACGACCCCCAGTTTGCCCACAAGTGAAAT